TTGCCAATATAAAAAAGGAAATAAGATATTAACTGTCATTCAAAATATGACTCATTATTTCTTATACAACTACCTTTGTCAACATTCTTGCCATTGGACTGTCTAGCCCTTGAGTCCGTTACATCGTGGCTTGTTGTTAAAGAAGGTAAAGTTTGGAAAAAAAGAAGCAATTATGCAAAGCAATACTAGAAAATCCTTGAGTTTCCCTTAGCATCTTATGTTTCTACATGGTTTTTTTTTTTATTTCACATAGATTAAATTTGCAGAGTTGTCCCATGATTTCATGAGTGTATCTGTCAGAGAACCCTTTGAAGGCCTATTTAATCAAACTAAGAATATTTTTTCTTATTTTAATACCATTAAACTTGTTCTATCTTTGATAATAATTGGGGAAAGAAAGAAACATATTCCATATAATACATAATATGACCAAGTGCTTTAGATAGTCATAAGCCTTTTCTCCTATAGCTTCCTAATTAGAAATGTCTGCTCTTTGGAGTTTTCTTAAGCTTTCCAACTTGCTCCTTCTCTTTCATAAGAATAATAGTCTATTTAGGAAGACTATTATTAAATAAATATCAGAATGATGAGTGGACACATATTTCAGCCTTTGGACTTATATCACAATTCCCTAAGACTTTATATTTCCAGAAAAGGAATTCAAACTAAAGGTCACAATTACTATTATTATGGTAATTATGATAAGATGTGCATTTTAACTAAAAGAAGTTCCCACTATTTTTTTTTTTCTCCTTTCTACTTTTCAATAATCCTTGGGACCTTAGTAGGAGTGTGCAACACTCTTATGGTATATTTTTAGAAATTCTGATTATTTCTCATTACCACTTGGTAGGTATTGTCCAAACTCACTTTTGATTCCAAGTGTTTTTACCCTCATAGAATTTTTTTAAAAGGAGTATTTGCTTTTTTCTATTATACTGTAACTATTGGAGCTACTAGGAGGCCTTTTAAATTTCACCAACAAATTGGCAGAATGAGGACTAACTGAAGGGTTGATGGGCTTAAAGAAAATAAATAACCATCAAAGCCACAAGGCTAATGGTGAAAACCAACATTAGGAACCAAGTCACTTTAATTGGGATTAGTGGATACCAAAATGTGCTTTCTCTGAAGTAGTACTTTACAAGGAAATATGAAAATCCACCTCTGTTGTCCTTCAGCTAAAGGGAATAGAATAACATCGTGTACTTTCTGTAATTTTAACTTTGTTATAACAGATGCTATGTTAACTCAAGTGGAACTCTGACTGCCTTGAGGGTTGAATAAACTGCATCCCACCATCCATTGCTGCTGGATCAGGGTATTAAAAAGAGAGAAGAATGAGGCGAGAGAGGCACAAGTTAGTTCAACAGTGTGAGGGACTCTGACACAATGGGAGGGAGAAAGAAATAAATGTCTAAATGTCCTTCAAAGAACGGACAATGAAGGCACATGTAAGATGCCTGCTAAACCTATGGAACCTCAGAAGCCTATTTGCAAGAAATAAAATTTAGAATAGAGAACTTGCCATACAATGCTTGACCTTTATTTCCTTTTCTGCCTTGAACTTGTCAAAACCTTTGATCAATTTTTCCGTGAACATGAATTACTGCTACAGTATTTAGTTGAACTACAAGAATTTCTCAAAGCATTAATACAGTGCTACAGCATAGCTTAAGCATTGTTTAAGTAATATAGTTTGCTTATATTTAAGTCATTTCTAAGGGACCAATGCAAACACAGTAATGAGATCTATTTATGATATATTTCCAAGGCTAAAAACAAAATGCTGTTAATGCATAAACAGTCAAAAAGGGCATGCTTTGTGGTTTTACAGGGACTTCTATTTCTAAAGGTGATTGTTGCATGAGGGCCTTTGCCTTTATAAAGGCAAATATATAGATTTTAACTAGCTGTGGATTACAATGTTTGTATTTTGAAAAAATCGTGTTTCTACACTAAAATATAAATTGCTAATCGAACCTTTAAAATTAACATTTAGAACAGAGACAAAAACTTCGATTGTTTCCAAAGTATGTTGTTGTTGCTATTTAGTTTTAAATTACATTTTAGACATTATATTGAGGTATAATTGATAAAAAAAATTGTACACCTTTAATATATTCACCTTGATAAGTTTGGACATGTGCACATACACCGATAACATAATCACAACCAAGGTACTAAATGTATTTACTCACTTCCAAAAATTTCCTTTTGTTCTTTTTTAGTGGTGATAGTATATTTTTAAGAATTCAGCCTTTGAGCAGGGTACTAAGGACCGTGAACAACAAATGGGAAAGTAAATGAACTAAGTCCACATAAAGGGTTAGATCTCAGTGAGATATTGAAGTTATGTCCAAATCCTCAAGAGGCTTGTAAACCGACTGTAGGTTTCCAGTTTGGTTATCCACAGATAGGACTTTATTTGCTCCTTGATTTACTCATTCACTTATCTACTCATCCATTCTCAAGAAGAGGTATTTGCTCATATCTCACCATGTGGATGAGCAGGTGGTCCGTTCTCACTTCTTTTGCCATTAACTGTACTAAAATGCCTACCCTTGAGCACCAGGATGATATTTTCTCTCACTTTGCTTCATTACCAAAGTGGCTATCAAGATTCCCTTCCCTTCCTTCTTTTTCTTTTTTTTTAATGTTTCAGAGCTGAGTTAATTTCTTGACGTCTTTAGTAGCACATGGAGATATATACCACTCAAGGCCTGTTGGATTAAACTGTTACATTTGTCATCTAGCTAATGTTTTCTTAGAAACAGACAAATTAAACAGATTGAATTGTTGAAAATATTTCAAAAGATAAACAGTCATAGAATGGAAATAAACTACAGAAAGTAGGGAACTTGAATATCTAAATCTCCTAGGAAACATTGACAGCAGATGGCAAAATATTGTCTCGTTGTTATAAATGAATTTCAAAGATTGTCAGAGCAGGTTTACAAAATTTTACTGCACTAACAAATGGCACCCAACCTCTGTAGTGAACACAAAACACTCTACTATCCTTTGTACCTCCTTAAATTAAGCCATTTTCTGCTTACACAGAAAGTCTGTGGAGAAGCACTGCTTAAAATTGCAAGCACATTAATCTGGAAGCCACAAAAGGCACTTGCTTCGGAAAACTTGTTAATACTTTTCTTGTGAGTTATTCTCTTTACACTTTTCACATTACAATATTACCAAGTTATCATAATGTATTTGCTTAACTCCCAGAGCAAGAGAAGACTCTAGTTGTTGTTGGGAACCATGCATTGTCTAAATACATGTTCATATTTTCCCACAGTGATTCTGGAATCAAATACACAAATAAGATCACTGTAGTCAGATTACTGGGATTAAGACTCAACTTCTTTACTCACTGGCCATGCAAATATAGATACAATACTCAAATACTCTGATGGTTAGCTAATTATAGGTTCATTTGGTCTACACTTACCACATTAACTATTTGAAAGGATTCATTGATATAGCATGTTCTGAGAAGAGTTCCTGACTCATAATCATTATTAAGGCAATATTTACCAACATGTGACTTTAAAACAGATACTACTATTAGATAATAATTCAACATTCAATTTTTAAACAACAGAATTATAATTTTGTGAAGTAAGTTTTATACTCAAACAGAAAATCAAACTTTGTAATTATTTTCTGCAATATTGGGTTATAGAACCAACAAAGAATATATTCCTGGGTTAGATGTATGTATTTAATTATGCAATTAATAATAAATTTCTTCACTTAATCCTATATTTGAATCCTAGGTATTCTGCATGGCAGCTGTTTATTTTTGGACAAGTTGCTTAATCTCCCTATACCTCAATGTCCTCATTTGTACTTCAGTTTTCTTATTTAGTAAATATAAAGTTACTTAACTCAGAGCTCTGAGGTCAGTTTTATCTGACAGAATCCACAAAAAATACTTAGCACACATTTCCTTGCATTCAACACACATAATAGATCTCTGTACATGATTTAATATATTAAATCCTCAAACTGACTATAATGTCTTATAATGCATGTCTATGTCACTGTAACTCTCATTGTACTTGACACAGTGTTGTGAATATATTTGTCATTTGTATGTTCTTTCTACCATACAATTCTGCCACTCCAGTTAGCATGGTATTGTGTTGGAAAACAATTAAGTGCTTGCTTGATGTTTTACCAAATTTATGCAGAAGTACATTGACCCTTCCTTGCCCTTCAGACGCTGGGGCTCACTGACTTCTTTCTAGTTCTCAGGAATCTCTCTGTGACTATGTCCTTTACACTTGCCCTGCAACATCTCCCCCAGGCCTAGACGAAGGCAACATCATTTTTAAAAACCTTCAAATATGTCTGCAATTCACTGTATGAATGTTCTCATTCTATCAAAACCCTGATCTCACTAATTCAATGGAGCAATATAGGATGATAAAGTCGTTTATATGAAAGTCTTAGCAAGCTTGCTTTGTTTATTCATCCAAACGTATGTTTTTAAAGGACTAGGGTTTTATCTGAAACAAATAAACTATACTTTAAAATTTCAAATAATGTGACTAATATATGATAAATTCATTTCCAAATATATAAATAATGAAAACACTTGGGGGTTTAAAGTTTAATGTTACCCTAGCTGCCAGAATTTAGGATTTTTAATATCAACGGAGAGATTTAAGGCTATTACAAGATAATTTTCCTATTTTGATTTTCCTCTTCTATTTATAACTCACTTGAAGTAATTTGATAGTATACATTGTGATATGTTCCCATATGTCAAACATTTAAAATATATATTTGGAACAAAAACAAAGATATGTTTTATGAATACCAGAGAGGTATAATCTGCTGCTATTTCTTGATAGGAAATAAACAAGTTGACTTCAAAGAAGTTGATCTAAATTTCTTCCTCATTCATTCAATGGTATTTTTATTGTTATTATTACAGAATATATTTAATTAGATAATGAGAAGTCATTTCTTTTTTCTTTTATTTTCAGAAAGGATTTCTCCCTGTTGCTGAGGCTGGAGTTCAGTGGCTCTATCTTGACTCACTGGAGCCTTCACCTCTGGGACTCAAGAAATTCTTCCACCTTAGCATCCTGAGTAGCTTGGACTACAGGTGAGCACCACCATGTCCACCTATATAATTTTTGTATATTTTTTGTAGAGACAGGGTTTTGCTGTGTTGCCCAGGTTGGTCTCAAACTCCTGGGCTCACACCATCCTCCCCACTAGGCCTCCCAAAACTCTGGGATTACAGGTATGAGCCACTGCACCTAGCTGAGAAGGCTTTTTATTATAGGTTGTTATTATTTTATTTTTTTGGTTTGGTTGTTGGTTTTCAAGGTCAGTTTGACATATAAGGTGGTATAATGTTTAAAGGTCAAGTTATAGAGATAGCTAGATTGAAGTTCAAATCCAGAGCCAAGTTCTTTAGACTCTCTAAGGACGTTGTTTTTTTCCTTATAAAATTATAATGGAGTGGATAGCCACTTCATAGGTTTGTAATAAGAATTAATATAATGCTGTCCCACAGTTGCAAAAAGATACTGAAACTTGGGTCTGCCAAAAATATTAGTTATTATAGTTAGGATTGTTATTCTTAATACCTAAGGCATTTGCTGACAATCAGGTAACTCATCATGTCCTTCCAGGAAAAAAATCTAGAAATGTTTAAAATTTTGGAACTACTTTTAAAATTTAATTTTCAGATCTAACATAACACAGATGAGGAAGAGAGGTGGTAGCTGACTGTGGATAGATGCAGAAATCATTAATGGTATAAGAGTGTGAGAATGTGAGGTATGAGAGGATATCATATTACTCATCTGATTGCAAGTACATGTCAAAATTATATTTATCATGCATTTAAGTAAAATTAATATTGTTTTCTTCAAAGAAGAAACTACAGCTTTCACTTTACCTATTTATCTCTGGAAAATTTTACAAATTGGGCATGCCATTTTTTAGTATGAATTTCTTTATTTCAGCTACCCTGCTAACTTTGCCTATGACATCATTAGCAGAAAAAAAAAGAAACAGAATGATTAGTTCTGAAATATGAAAAAGTGCCCAAGAAGAGGAGTAGTTTTGAGAAGTAGGGAACAGGATGACATCACTAGGGGCAAAAAGGTAGCAGAGAGTGGGACCAGACAAGCACTGAACTCTGCATGCACACATAACAGTCTAAAATAGTCATCCAGCACACAGACTGTAGGCCAAGATAACCAAGATGAATTGCAACTTCTTCACAAGCAACATGACTTTGGGTAAAGTATTTAACTTTTCGTGTCTCAGTTTCTTCAACTGAGAAATACAAATGATGGTCATATCTACTTCATAAAATTGTGATAACTAAACTGATTAATACATGTAATGAGTAGTGTTTGGCATTTAGCTTAATAATAAGGGATTTCATTAAATTATTAGCTACTTTGTTAGCTAGCAACTCACAATTTTCCCTAAAGCTAACACCATGTGTAGGGTTAGGTTTTGAAAGAAATTTATCACTATCAGAAGCAGGTTTGGAAGTTATAAAGGAAAGCTTAAAAAAACAGAAATATGTGTAAGACCTATTGACAAAGAATCCATTTGGAAGGTCCCACTGAGCCCAGGTAGATGGCACATGTCCCTTTTGTGCATGTAATGCAACTCCCTGAAGGTCAGTAGACTGTCTTTGTTTTAAAGGTCAAAGGCAAGCTTTTTAATAATTATGATCCCATTCAATAGTCATGTTCACTTACTTTATAGGTACATTTGCGGTATATTTTAAAATGCGAAGGCAAATGCATTTCACTTAAAAACCAAAAGCATATGACAACATAGAGGAAAAATTATTGATTTTTGTAAATAGATCTTGTTTGTATTCAAGCTCGATCACTTACTAATTTTGTGATATGTGCAATTTATATCCTATCTGAGCCTGTGTTTCCTCTACAATATGAGATAATTCTACTTTGAAGTATTGTTATGTGGGTTAAATATAAATTACTTTTTGGTTTATGATGTTGCTATATACTACTTCCATGCATGATAGTTAATTTTATGAATAAGATTTTAACAATAAACCGTAGAAAAATATAATGTAATACTGATTCTTAGAATCTATCAAAACAGGTTGTAAAAATGACTTTAAAAACATCCAGCACGGCAGTGACTAACATTCTGAAAAGCTTTATTTTTCCGTTGAGGACCATAGCCCAACACGGTGTCTGTGCTTCAATGTTCCTCTTGTCAGGAAGGATAATATCTGTGATGCATCGACTAACTCTAATGAAAATTTTTTTACTTAAGACACAAAATATTTCCCAGCACAGTACATAAGGTGTTTGTGCTCATGTCAGCATTGGAGATAAATTTCTGGGAAAGAAATAGAGAAACTTCTCATTTCTATAGACATCAAAAAACCAAGGCAAAAATGAAAATAAAGGTACACAGCAGACTTTTTCTTTTTAAATGCCTAAATTGAAAAGTATACCTATCAGGAAACATCCAACTCATAAATTACTTTAAATATGTTTTTAAAACAGCGTGCTTGTTTTATAACAACAGATTCATGCTATTTACCTGATATTCCCCAGTGGTTGCTTTGTGGAGCTCAGTGTCATCCTTGGAGACCATGGGCAATGAAAAGCATTTCTTCTGTACCAGTAAGACAAAAACAAACTGACTACTTCTGACACAAACTTTGGAGGGCTTCCCTCAGTGGGCTTAGTGATCGGCAAATCATGTCAAATAAGCCTTTTTGTTATTTTTGACATAACCGTGTTCCTAGCAAGCAGTACTCAAGAATTCCCAGATTGTTAGCCTTAACATAAATTCAATTTACTCTTTTATTAAAAGTCAAGCTGTTTATTCACAGTAGTTCTTAGGTCTACATTTCATTTTACACATATATGTTCATGTAATAGCTTTTGCCTCAGAACTTTAAAAAAAATAGAATTCAGTAAAAGTCACGTATTTACATTTTCTATGTGCCAAGAACAGATAACCATCATTAATGTGAACCAAATTTGCATTGAGGAGCTGAAATTAGGAGGAGTTGAAAAACATCTGAAATAAATCTTCAGGTAATGAAGGGGAAGGTTTACTTTAGAATTAGTGTATCAAAAATGGGAATATTGGCCAGGCGCGGTGGCCTGGGATTACAATCCCAGCACTTTTGGAGGCTGAGGCAGGCGGATCACTTGAGGTCAGGAGTTCAAGACCTGCCTGGCCAACATGATGAAACCCTGAAACTACTAAAAATACAAAAATTAGCCAATGTGCTAGCACATGCCTGTGGTCCCAGCTACTCAGGAGGCTGAGGCAGGAGAATCACTTGAACCTTGGAGCTGAGATCACATCACTGAACACCAGCCTTAGCGACAAAGTAAGACTCCATCAAAAAAAAAAGAATGTCATTGCTTTATGTTTTAAAAATTAATAGTTTTAAAATGTATACATGTAGAATCTAACTGGGAATTCACCTAAAGGTTTGCACAATAGAATACACATTTATTTTAATCTGTATGATTGAAAGCCTAATTGTTAATGTGGCTATGTCATCATTATCACATCCGTGAATCTCCTGATTGTAACCTGCACAGATGGCCTATCTACAGGGCTCTGGGATAAGAAACTAGCTGTCTACAGAGGAAGTCCTTTTCATTTCCAGATATTTCTGAATATTTGAAACTACTTGCTGATTGAAAGTCAAATTATGTCTTGCTGTAACTTTCAGAATTTCTGAATTTACATTTGTGATAAACTAAGATTGGACTAAACCATGTCTTCAGATGACAGACTCTCAAAAATGCAATGCAGTTTATGTACCAAAATTATTCTACCTTAACATTTTCCTCCATATTTTTAGGAAAAACATGGTCCCAGTTTTGTTAGCCACACTTGACCACATTATTTTGAACCCCTATGTCATTTGGACATCCTATATTTCAACACGCTTTAATGTCTTTCTATTTAAATATGCATAAAAACTGCAATTCCAGGATACTCTACCTGGAGAAAAACATAGCTCTCATTAACCTTGTCCAGACATTAAACTTATAAGAGAAAATCATTATTTTCCTTGTAGCCAAATTATTCTGCTAAATTAATTATAGGCAGGATTAATAAACCTTTACTGTAAAGGGCAAAAGGCTAAGATTTTAGGTTTTGTGGGCCGTATAGTCACCATATAACTATTCAACTCTGCTGTTGCAGTGAGGAAGCATTTATAGACAATACACAAATGAATATATCCATACTGCAACGAAACTTTATTTACAAAACCAGTGTATTTACTGGATATGGATTGTGGGCCATAATTTGCTAACTCTTGGTTTACAGCCTAGCTAGCTAAACACTGCTTGTTGTTTACTATAACAAGCAAAACCTTGCTTTTTAAAACATCTCTCTCTCATCCTAGAATTGTTATTATGTGTGTGTAGTTTATTGTTAAATATGTAATATTAAAGGGTCATTCCTATTTAGTTTTATTGACTGAAAGCTGTTTTATAATTATATGCACAGACATCTATATAGGTTTTTATTTTATCATTCTACCTATTAGCTAATCCTTAGAGTTCTGTTTCATTTTTCATCTGTTTGATGGATGAACAAATCTAAGACACTGATGAAAATGTTACCAGAATATGAACAAAAATGAATTTTTCAGTTTAAAATCATTTTGTTAGTAATATGTAAGCATATTTATTAACCATTAAATAATTTACCAAATTATTCCATTACTTAGTCCATATTGCTCCTTCTTATCCAAAAGAATATAGTAAAATACATTGCCAAATACATGACTCTAGTGGGTATTTAATGTATTATTAGAGGATCATGATATCTTTCTTTCTTAAAGAAATGAAACTCATTCCTAGTTATTATACTTTGTTCATCTAACACGATAATATTAATAACATTTGAAAAAATAATGTCTAATAATTAACACTAGATAGAGTATTTTTAGATAATTTTCTAAAATTATCTGAAAAATTTGGCCAGAATCACTATAAAGTTCACATCTGAGCTTATGGAAGCCAACTTATTCCACTCTAAAAGGACAAAATTTTATATTTTGAATTTTATCTTTTAAAATATTTTTACATTGGAGTAGTGGAAGATCTTACTAAA